ATAATTTAAGTATATTATCGTGGAACATAAGGGGCCTTGGAAAAAGAGAAAAATCTGTAGCAGTTGCAAGGCAAGTAAGGAAGTTGAAACCGATTTTTCTATTCATTCAAGAATCAAAGTTGGATCAAGTACATGTGTCGATTATTAGGAGGATAGGGGGTAATTTGCTAAAGGGAGTACTGGTGTCTCCAGCTCAAGGATCATCGGGGGGTCGATTACCATGTGGAATGAAAGTGTGGTTCAAGTCTTTCACCAGCATGTTCACAGTAGGTTTTTGGCAGTATTAGGGAAATTGATGAATGGGAAAATGGAGTTTGTTTTTATAAATGTGTATGGGCCTTCTATCGAATCAGAAAAGGAAGAGATTTTTGGGGAGCTGCTGCAATTTGTAATTTCTCAGAATTTACCAGAATGTATTGGGGGAGATTTCAATGCGTATATTGATACGGATGAAAAGCAAGGGAAATCACAAAATTGGAATTCAATCGATATTCTTAGATCCTTTGTGCAGCAAGCGAATCTCATTGATTTGCCTTTGTCAGGAGGTGCTTACACGTGGTGCAATAATAGAGAATCTTCAACTTGGGTGAGACTGGACCGGTTCCTAATTTGTGCCAGATTTCTTTACAGTTTTCCCAATGTTACTCAAAATCTTCTTCCGAAGTCGATTTCATATCACAATCCAGTTTTGTTGGAGGATATTTCTATTAATTGGGGGCCTAAACCCTTTAGGTTCTTTAATTTTCTTTTAGAAGAAGAAGGTTTTGATGAATTGGTAGAAGAATCACTGTCAGTAGAGAAAAAGAAGAATAGAGGGGGTATTTTCAGGTTGTTACAGGCTGCAAAAAATAAAATCAAAATCTGGCCTGGTAGTTGTAACAGAGGACTGGGTGAATCCATCTCGCAGCTGGAATTTAAAATCAATGATTTGGACAGAAAATCTCAAGGTGGAATTTTGTCTTTAGGGGAGTGGAATCAGCTGATTGAGTGTAAAAAAGAGTTATGGAGGCTGTTGAGAATCGAAGAGAGGATCTGGTTTCAGAAGTCTAGAACAAGATGGATTAAAGATGGAGATAGAAATACAAGGTTCTTCCACCTTACTGCATTAAGGAGAAACAGAATCAATTCCATTCATTCATTGAAGCCTGAAGGGGGAGTTATTTCAGATCTAGAACAGATAAAAGCAACTGTTTTAAATTTTTTTAAGAAGGCATATAATGACAAATCAACTCTGGAAGTTGCAGGCTTTAATTTTGATTTTAAACAATTGACAGCAGTTCAAAGAGATTGTCTTGAGGAAGAATTTTCGGAGCAAGAAGTTTGGCAAGCAATTGCTTCTTCTGAAAGTTCTAAAGCTCCTGGCCCGGATGGTTTTACAATGGGATTTTATAAGAAATTCTGGCTGAAACTGAAGGCCCAGATCATGGAGTTTTTTTTCTGATTTTTACAAAGGAAAGGAATGGGTTCATGGGGTAAATCATGCATTTATTACCTTGATTCCTAAAAAAGGTAATCCAGAGTGTATTGAAGATTACAGACCTATTAGCCTTGTGGGCAGCCTATATAAGATTCTTTCAAAAGTTCTGTCTAAGAGACTTTGTTCATGTGTTAATGATATTGTAAGCCCAACTCAGTTTGCTTTTATTCCGGGGAGACAATTGTTGGATTGTGCTTGTTTAGCAAATGAAGGCATTGATTTTTGGAGGAAACAAGGGCTTAGAGAAGTTGTTTTTAAAGTCGATTTTAGCAGAGCATATGACACAGTTAACTGGCAAATTCTTCTAAGGCTTTTGAATGTCATGGGCTTCGGTGAAAGGTGGTGTTCTTGGATTTCACAGTGTATTTCCACTGCCTCAATCTCGATCTTAGTCAATGGGTCGCCTACAGAGGAGTTCCCAATAGCTAAAGGCTTGAGACAAGGATGTAGCCTTTCTCCACTTTTGTTTAACGTGGTTGGTGAACTACTTCACATGATGTTATCCAAAGCTGTGGAAATTGGCCTATTTCAAGGGTTTGCGTTTGGCAAAAACCAAAATAATTTCACTTTGTCACATCTTCAGTTCGCAGATGACCTTATTATTTTTGTGGAGCTTCCATTACTCAGATAAAGAATGTGAGACGAGTTCTGAGGATTTATAGCTTAATGACGGGACTTCATCTTAATTTAGCTAAAAGCAAACTTTTTGGCATCAATGTGGAGGATGATATCATGGGAGATTGGGCTGCGACTATTGGATGCTCTGTAGGTTCATTTCCGACCGTTTACTTGGGACTTCTGTTAGGGGCAAAAGAAATTGTGAGAAATTGTGGGAGCCGGTTCTTGATAATTTCCACAAGAAACTAGCGGGGTGGAAAGCCTCTTCCTTGTCATTGGCAGGTAGATTGGTGCTTATTAAGTCGGTTTTGTCATCTTTACCTGTTTTCTTTCTATCTTTTTTCAAGATGCCTTCTACTATTTGCAAGAAGTTAAATTCTTTTATAGTGGCTTTTTTATGGGGTGATGGGGCCGAGAAGAAGAAAATGCATTGGTTAAGTTGGGATAAGATTTGCAATCCTTCGAGTTGTGGAGGTTTGGGAGTTGTCGACTTGAAATATTCTAACCGAGCCTTGTTGGGAAAGTGGGTGTGGAAGTTTGCTAATGAAAAAAGTTCATTGTGGAAGCGTTTCATATGCACCAAACATGATGTTAGTTGCGATTCCATGGATATTACCAAAGTCCTTTCACATAAGGACTCATTTTTGCTCTTTTTTCAAGATGCTGTTCCTTTGAAGGTTGCTGATTTTGGGAGCTTCGATTCGAATGGGGGTGTAATATTAGAACGAGGAATCTCTGTGATTGGGAGGTGGTTCAGTTGGTGGAGCTATTGGATAGACTCAAAGACATTAAATTGACCGAATCTTTGGAGGATTGTTTGCTATGGGATGGAGTGGGGGAGGAGTTGTTTTCGGTTAAAGCTTGTAGGAAGTTTTTTCCCTATTCTAATGAAAATTCATTTTTATGGAACAAATATGTTTGGATGGGTTTAGTTCCTCCAAGAGTTGAGGCTTTCCTTTGGCAAGTATCCCATAAAAAATTACCGGTGAGAGTGGAGTTGAAGAAACGGGTGGTTCCCTTAGGGGACGATATTTTATGTCCTCTTTGCAATCTTTGTGAAGAATTTGTTCAACATCTTTTTATTTCTTTCCAAGTTTCGTGGGAATTGTGGAATAAAATTATCGGCTTTTGGGGTATTTCGTGTGTTTTACCCTCTGATCCTCCCTCCCTCCTTAGCTCTTGGACATACTTGAAGCTTTATTCTGCCATGTGGAAGTTCATTCCAGCTGGTCTCTATGGAAATTTAGAAATGATATCATCTTTAATGGAGGTAAACTGGACAATTTCGCTTTGTTTTTCACAGTTCGGCTAAGGTTAGCGGAATGGTTCTTAGCAAAGTATCCAAAAAGCTCTATTCAGGTGGATTCGTTAATTGTTGATCCTTCATTGGAAGACACTTGCTCAGTTATAAAAGATTTGAACAGGCCGATGGTTAGTTGGAGTCCACCTCCAACTGACTTTTATAAAATGAATGTGGATGGAGTTGTTTGTACTGTTGGGAGAACTGCTGGAATTGGGGGTATTCTCAGAGATTGGAATCGGACAAAGCTGATTTCTTTTTCAGAAAATGTTGGTCCTACTCCTATCATCGTAGCAGAGTTGAAAGCAATCAAGAAAGGAATAGATTTATTTGTTTCTTCAGAATGGGCACCAAAGGGAAGGTTAATTGTGGAATCTGATTGCAAACTAGCAGTGGAATGGTTGAAAGATCAAGCAACTGTCCCTACTTTTCTTACTAATCTAGTTAAGGAGATAGCTTCTACAATGTCTGCGCACGAGATTATTGTGAGGTGGATTCCTAGGTGCTGTAATTGCGAGGCTGATAAGTTAGCAAAAGAGGGGATTTGGTGATGGGATTTGTTGTTTCAACGAGTTGTGGCGTTCAGTTGTTATGATTTTTAGCAGTGTGTTTAAGTTTTATGTATCTTGTAGGACTGTTTTTATGTCTTATGTAATTCTTTTGCAATCAATAAAGTCTTGCACTCTTTTCCTCCTTCCGCTAGTTGGTTCTTACCATATGGTAAAGGACCTCTAAGAGGGAGGTTTTTAATGAGGCCATCTATTCCTGTCAAAAAAAAATAAAAGAAAAAGATCGAAGTCGAGAAGCTCATCACTCATGCTTCGAACCCATGCTCCCCGGAAAGACTTCTTCACACACAATATCTTTGCCACCCTCCCGACTCGCGATCCCCAATGTGGCTTTCCTCACTTCGGTAAGTTACAAGGATGAATGCAAATAGCAAGGCGCTATGCTGCGTGACGTGAGACTGGCTGCCCTAAGTTAAGTGCTTCCTTATTCATTAATGATCTTGCTCAGTAGGAGGACTTTTCCCCTTCTGTGCAGCCTGATTCTATCTCTGGAAATGAGGTTGCCCTCGATTGACATTTATCATCGAATAAGGAACCAAAACAGATACTTACTTTTCATAATTTGGGAAGTAACAGACAACTTTTGCTTGTCCAAGTACCATTGGTGTGTGAACCAAATCCAGAATTAAACTCTTCACTGGACAACAAAACAAAGGATCAGAAGTTGAAACTATTCAAGATGCTGATCTGACTCATCCTAGATACTATTACGGTGACAACTATGCCCAGGATCTCCAACATCATAAAATATATTTAGATGGTTTACATAGAAAATTTGGCATCTATGTTCCTATCAGTGGATCTGACAATTTCTCCAAATTGAACCCAACCTGTTCTGCGGTAAATGAAAATTTCAGTTATAGCAATTGTATGACCTAATGAGACTTGTTGGAACAATTGGGGGGGGGGGCAAACACAAAACAATGAAACGACCATTTAAAACACACTTTGAAGCACCAATAAAAAGCAGAATAGATTTTACCCAAAAAGAATCCTGAACAAGTAGTCGAGAAATTTCTACATGTCAGGCTCCAAATCCATAATAGATAGAAAATAAAGAAATGTCAAAAAGTAAACATTGAACGTTTAAGGCATCTTGGTAAATGTAGGTTATAAGATTAAAATATAGCAGACCTCAACTTGTTAACCCACATAACTGGATCACAAGACTCAGAAATTTGTCTCCATTTGACAGCTAATGAATAAACATCTTGCCATCATATCATAGGACGGCTAGATGATCTATCTTCAGTACTGTCATATGAAGCAGATGTTTCAGAGGAACCGCTTGTACTACAACCAACACCACCTCTGTTCTGGCTAACTAAACTGATTCTTTCCTTTCTTCGGTGCCTCTTACCACTTTTCAAGCTTCTATTAGAATTCTTCCAATCTGCATGCAAAGAACGCCATGATTTTGACACCTTCTGCGCAATTTCAATGGCTGCTAATCCCGCCATTTGATGCTGATGCATAACACATGATTAAATAAAAAGAAAATTAATAAATCAAGATTCACTTAAAAAAAGTGCAGCATAGCAAGTGCAATTATTGAAAACCCGTGTCAAGCTGGAATAGTTATACCAATTATAACTCTGCTTTGAACGGTAGAATTTGGCTATTGTGGAGGAAAAATTTAAATATTTCTTTATGCCATGCCTCTGACCAAATCATCACTGTCAAAAGTTACTTCAATAACAACCCTTTCTTGATCTCGCCAATCTATGGCCACAATGATGGAATTTCAAGAAGGAATCTGTGGCAGGACCTTAGAAATACTTTTTCCTCTTCTTGTAACCTCCCATGGATTTTGGGAGGAGATTTCAATGTAATTCTTCATCCTCAAGAAACTTCTGCTCATGAGCATCTTGGTATGACCACTTCCCCTGATATGTTGGAATTCCAATAAGTTATTCAAGACCTCCAACTCTAGGACCATCCATTCTTTGGCCCTTCTTTCTCTTGGAGTAACAAGCAAAAGGAAAACTACCTTGCTCGCAAACTCGACAAAGTCCTCATTAATCCAACTTGGTCAGAATCTTTTATTTACTCTTTTGTGGAATTCTTGGCTCCTGGTCCCTCTGATCATTGTATGGCATTGGTGTACCTAAACAAAGAAGTTCAAACCAACAGACCAAAGCCATTTAAATTCTTTAATTGTTGGACTTTGCATCACAATTTCCTTAATATTGTCAATCATTCTTGGTCTGTGCCTATCCAAGGAGATCCAATGAAGAAACTCTTTCTTAAGCTCAAACGGCTTAAAGCTTGTCTCAAAACCCTCAACAATGACTATTATAGTGACATTTCTTCCCAGGTTAGATAAAAGAGAGAGGAAATTGAAAAAAAAACAAATTCTCACTCTTAAAATGAACTCAATTCCTTAGTGGAAGCGGAGGAAATGTTCTTAAAGCAAAAAGCTAAAATCCATTGACTTAAAGATGGTGATAAATGTACCAGATTCTTTCACTCAGTAATTGCTTCTAAGAGGAAAAAAAGACACCATTAGAGTGATTGTTGATGAGCAAGTAAGAAGGCTCGAGACCTTCGATGACATGTCCTCAGAAGTTGTTAATTTCTTCAAAAGACTCCTTGGCTCCTATGACTCTAATGTCAAAGATTGCCCCATTAATCTTCTTCAAGAACTCTTGTTCCCTATTCCTTCCTTTGATGACTTTTATGGCCTCACAAAGGAAGTCTCTTATGATGAAATCAAGGAGGCTCTTTTTAGCCAGGGTAATGATAAGGCTCCAGGCCCTGATGGTTATACCCCTCTTCTTCAAAAAAGCGTGGCCAGTGATTGAAAGCGACGTTACTGAAGCAATTAAATTCTTCTTCTATGAAGCTTATATTTTTCCAGCTTTTAATGCCACCACTATTGCCTTGATCCCCAAGATCCTCAACCCCAGCAAAGTTTCTGACTTCCGTCTTATCTCTTGTTGTTCTGTCATATATAAGACTATTACCAAGATCATTGTTAAAAGAATGACTCCATTGCTGCCAAAGATCATTTCCCCAAACCAGTCTGTGTTTGTCAAAGGGAGAAGTATCATTGATAATACTCTTTTAGCCCAAGAAATAGTGAAAGGTTATGGGAGGAAATCTACCTCCCCTAGGTGTGCCCTCAAAATTGATTTGCATAAAGCCTTTGATTCTATTCACTGGAACTTCATTCTTTCTATTCTCAAGGCCCTTGGTTTTTCAAATTCCTTCATGCAATGGATTGAGGCTTGCTACTCTGCTGCTACTTACTCCATTACTTTCAACGGTACCTTAATTGGGTACATTAAGGGTGAAAAGGATCTTAGACAAGGCGACCCTCTCTCCCTATCTTGTTTGTATTGGTGATGAACATCCTATCAAAACTTTTAAATACTGCTGATGCTAAAGGGATCTTTAACTTCCACCCTAAATGCAAGAGAACTTGCCTTACACATCTAACTTTTGCTGATGATCTACTTATTTTCTGCAAAGGCAATCTGGAATCTGTCATGGGAGTAACCTCTGTTCTCGATTATTTCTATGAAATTTCAGGTCTCAAACTCAATGCTGCTAAATGCGAAATTTTCACTACTGGAATTTTTGCTCTTTCTCTTGACACCATTATTAAGTCCTCTGGTTTTAAGCTTGGCTCTTTTCCAGTCAGATACCTAGGGATTCCTCTAGTCACGAGGAAACTTACAGTTAAAGATTATCGGCCTCTCATCGACAAGGTTAAACTCAAACTTCATCAATGGTCCAGGTTGAAGTTGAGTTATGCAGGCAGACTTGAGCTGATAAAAACGGTCCTTTTTAGTGTGGCAAATTACTGGTGTAGGCAACTTATTCTGCCTCAATCTGTCATCAATAAAATCGAACAGATTTGCTCGAGATACTTCTGGAAAGGCTCTGATATTCCTGCTGTGGGAGCTAGAGTTAGTTGGGACATAATTTGTAAACCAAAATCAGAAGGTGGACTCGGTCTCAAGGACATCAAATCATGGAATAAATCTTGCATGATGCTCCTCATTAGGCGCCTTCTTGCAGGGAAGGGTTCTCTTTGGGTTGCATGGAACCAATCTTATTATTTTAAGGACCGAGATTTTTGGGAGATGGAAGCTCCTACGAACTCAAGCTGGCTTCTAAGAAAAATTATGAACCACAGATCAGCTGCTCGTCCTATACTCGCCTCGGGAGCATTTAATACAAAGCATATTTGGGAAGAGGTTCGAGTGAAAAGCAATAAAGTATCATGGAAAAAGTTGTTATGGTTTTCTTTCCACATTCCCAAATATAGCCTTATCTCTTGGATGGCCATTTAAGATCGTCTCCCCACAAAGGATAGATTGAAAAGATTTGGAATTGAAACGAATGACCTGTGCATCCTTTGTTCTGAAGCTAGTGAATCAAGAAATCATCTTTTTGCTGATTGTAAGTTCACTGCAACAATCTGGAATTCTATCCTTCAGCTCGTAGGCTTACAAAAACCATCGCAAACTTGGGAAGATCTGCTGGTATGGGCTACAAATTCATGCTTACTTACTATGATCTTGAAGATTTCTTGGTGCACTCTCAGTTATACTATTTGGGAAGAAAGAAACTGAAGATTATTTAGAGGAACTTTCAGAAATGAGAATTCAATTCTGGAATCTATTAAGCAAATTGTTGGAATTCAACTTAGTAATAGAAATGTTAATAGATTAGATAGAACTAATCTTTCTCTCTGTTATAATTGGGGTATAGATTGATTTTGTTTTATTAGGATCCCATCCTTCTTGCTCTTTGGTTGTTGTATTGTTTTGTAGCAGGCTACTGCTATTCTTGGGTAATAAAAAGCTTAATTATCCAAAAAAATTTATTGAAAACACAATGGCAAACCTTTAGTGTTGCTTTCCTTTTGCAAGGGAGAAAAAGGTGACATAAAGGGTAGCAGAAATCATGATTATCAAAAGGCTATACAGTTCATCAAGGATCTCAATGAAATTAACATATTACTTAATTTCAATTTGCAAACAAAAGGCTACACAGTTTGTTAAGAATCTCAATGGAATTAACATATTACTTCATTTCGATTTTCAAGACAAATACCCTAACTTAAGATATCAAACCACATCATTGTTTAATGAAAATATGCTTATGAGATTTTCAGTTTGGTACCCAGGCAGAGAATAACTAAAAGGGAAGCAAGCACACACAGATGAACATACACGAATTCATCCTTGTTCTGTTTTGTAGAAATTCATTTTAGAAGAGTTTTTCAATTTTTCATCAAGCCAGTTAAATTCAAGAAAGAGGGGAAATCTTTATAAGGGAGCCAATGAAACACTGAGGAAAGGTGAGGGAGTGGGATAAATAAAGAAAAGAAAACCCAGAAAGTTATATATTCTCAAAATTAATCACCTGGCGTCTATTGGGTAAGAAACTAGGACAGTCATATTGAATTTTCTTGCCAATTGAGTCAGCAGTTAGTATAAGAGTAGTCTTGTGCTTTGTAACAGCCATATCTTGCTTTTTAAGCTTTCCCTTCTTCAGAGAATCGCGCAATGGAGGCTGTCTGAAAACCTTTTCACATACATTCTTGGGGTGCAATCTTTTGCACCAATACTCCTACATAAGAATGAATGTAAGAAACAAGGACAAAAGACAAGATAAATCTCAAGTGAAAAAATCTTAAATGATGAAAACTGAAGTCATGGAAGAGAAAAATATCCATTTTCCTTGTATTTTAAACGCCAAAGAAAATTCACAATTTTAGTGCAAAAGAGAACACAAAAAACAAAAGCATGCACAGTCGCACACAATAGGAAACTTGAAATAAGATTATCACTATGAGTTATCACCTTGAACAGTGGATCTATATCTCCTTCAATATCAAACCAAGAAAACTCACTATTGACTTTGGAAGCGGTGTATAAAGCAATCTCTTTCTGCAAAAGAAGAATTTCAAGTTTCAGAGACCCTATGAGATAACTAAAATTATCAAGCATGATCGATAACACTGCCAAAGGAACTATAAACTAGGCTTTAAGAGAGGAGTAAGCCCATTTTTTAATATTAATAAACTCACAAAAGTAATATCATAAAATAATTTCACACAAAACAAACGGGAAAAGTGGCATGTATATAGAATGACAGTTCATAAAAACAATGAAAACATGAATATTATGCCTTAAGTTTAAGGGTATGTAACAGAGGGATATGATTGGAAGAAAACAGGGTACAGCCTAATGTAGCCACCTTAAAATTGAGAGATAGATTGGATTTCCAGCTGCATTACACTAAAATTTTTGGCCATAGACCCATACCACAGGTGTAAAAAAGAAAAATCTATATAGGAAATGAATTTGGGACAATAAAATCTGTCCAAGAAATAGACAAAACGAAAAGCAAGGAAAACCCAAAAGATAATCAAAATGCCACATTTTGTTTATCTTCAACTAACAAGAACAACCTCCAGCTTCAACAGATATCTAGGATCAAGTTTGATGTGAAACCATTAGCTGAAAGATAATACTTATGACAAGTGAATGGACACAAGAGTAACATGCTAACAATTCCATCACTGAAAACAAGGGTATGAAAGGAAAACCAAGTGAAGTGACTTTCATGCAAAAATCATTATTCTGCATAATCACAAACCTGATAGAAGGCTAAACATTGAAGCACAAACTTCTCCATCGAGTCAAGTTCAACATCTAGGGCTGCATCATAATCCTTGACCTGTGAATGTTTAATTTTAGCACAGTAAAGTAGTGCCAAAGTGCAATAAGTGCAGTGTCATAAAATAACCAAACAGTCACTTAATTCAAAAATATTATTTACCGCATCAGCATATTCTCCAATAGCATGAAGCTCGTAAGTACAAGTGTAGAAAACAGACTGTAGAAAGAAAACAGACTGTATTGTAGAAAACAGACAAGTCTGTTATTTTATTCTTGCATACTTTCGGTAGAAACATATTACATATTTATATACAAATTATGCCTCTAAACTAGGAAACTCTAAGTTAGGAAAGATACTAATCCTAGGAGATGTAATCCCTTGAAATAAGGGATTGAAAAACTGAAAATAATTATAGAATCTCTTGACATCTCATTTCTATAATTCCTACACTCCCCCTCAAACTGGTGTATATATGTTGTATATACCCAGTTTGAATGACAGCTCATCAAAAGTCACTCATGGAAGGGCTTTAGTGAAGATATCTGCAAGCTTTTTCTTTGTCGGAATGTACTGTAGTTGTGCAACTCCATTGTTGACCTTCTCATAAATAAAATGTCTGTCTATCTCAATGTGTTTCGTTCTATCATGCCGCACTGGGTTTTTTGATATACTCATAGCTGATTGACTGTCACTAAAAATCTCAAAATTCTTCTTGTCATCTAAGTTCAGTTCTTTGAGCAGTCTTTTAATCCACATTCCTTCACATATTCCAAGAGTCATTGCTCTAAACTCTGACTCAGCACTAATTCGAGAGACAACGACTTGTTTCTTACTTCTCCAAGCCCCAAATTACCTTCTATCAGTTAATTCACCTCCCCAGCTTGCATCCGTATAAACTTTCACTGTTCTATCTTGATTTTTTCTAAATACAAGTCTAGCTCCTGGGGTAAACTGCAAGAACCTTAGAATTCTGTTAACAGGTTCCAAATGTTCTTCTCGAGGATCACTCATATGTTGGCTGACAATGCTAACTGAGTATGCAATATCAGGCCTGGTCAGTGAAAGGTAGATCAACTTACCAACCAACCTTTGGTAGGTTTCCTTGTTTACTGGATTTCCAGTCCGGTCCTTGCAAAATTTCAAGCCTGGCTCCATTGGAGTTTCAACTGATTTGCAGTTGAGCATCCCTGTTTCTGCAAGAAGATCCAAAACATACTTACGCTGGTTTATGACCAACCCTTCTTCAGACCTTGCAACTTCCATACCCAGGAAATACCTAATACTCCCTAAATCCTTGGTTTCAAACTCCTTTGCAATATTCATCTTTAGCTTTTCTATTTCTTCTATATCACTGCCAGTTATAATCATATCATCTACATAGACAATTAGGAGGGTTATCTTACCACTCGGTGTAATTTTTCTGAATAATGTGTGATCCGCTTGACTTTGTTTGAAACCATTCTGTGCCATAGCCTTAGCAAATCGATCAAACCAAACCCTGGGAGACTGTTTTAAGCCATACAAGGATTTATTGAGCTTGCACACAGTTTTCTTAATGACCTTTCCTTCTAATCCGGGGGGAACCTCCATGTATACCTCTTCTTCAAGGTTCCCATTTAGAAAAGCATTCTTTATGTCCAGCTAATGCAATTTTCAGTCCATGTTAACAGCTACTGATAACAATATTCTGATGGTATTCATTTTTGCAACCGGTGCAAAAGTCTCCTGGTAGTCGATGCCATAGGATTGAGAAAAACCTTTAGCAACCAGCATTGCCTTGTATCTTTCCACACTCTCATCCGAATGATATTGACTGTGAATATCCACCTACATCCAACAGCTCTCTTCCCTTATGGCAAATCTGTCAAACTCCATGTCTTATTTTTTTGCAACGCTTTTATCTCCTCTTCCACAGTCTTTTTCCACTCAGGAGATTAAAATGCTTCTGTCACATTTCTTGGGATTTTTACACTGTTTATGCTGACAGTGAAGGCCCTGAAATTAGACTGTAATTTCCCATATGCAACATACTTATTTATGGGATGAGCATACTTAATAGATCAACCAATCCTAATAGGTAACTATCATTACCTTCTGTTTCAGATGCAACAGGATCCGAATCTGGTTCTTGGAGAATGCTAGGCATACTGATTTCTTCAGCAACATCTTTCCTTCTTCTTGAGTAAACACCGAGTTGTTTATGGTTTCAAGGTCATTGTTAGGTGCATTTTTTATAGTGGTGGAAGGTGTTTTGCACGGACTAGAGTTCTGAGATAAGGAGAAAGGTAATTCATCAGAGTTATTTAGGTTATTCCCATCACCCTCACTAGGAACTGGGACAGTGCTAGCCGGCTTTGGAGAGACAATAATAGGTAAAGAAATGATAGGTTGTAAAGAAATATTGGTTTGAACAGGCTAAAATTCCTTATAACTCTCCCCCTGAATTTTTGTTCCCGAAAAATAAGGTTGGTTTTCAAAAAATGTAACATCAAAGGAGACATGTCTTTTTTGTGGAAGGTGAGTAACACTTGTAACCCTTTTGACTCGAAGAATAGCCCAAGAACACACACTTTATGGACCTATGATCTAATTTCCCTCTGTTGTTGATATGAACAAAGGTTGTACACCCAAACACCCGAGGAGAAAGACTTGAGTTTAAATGCTTAAAATGGGAAAAAAACTGAAACAAAACCTTAGTAGGAATTTTGAAATCTAAAGTCTTACTTGGCATTCTATTGATGAGGTACGTGGCTGTAAGAAGAGCTTCCCCCCAAAGATACTTAGGAGCATTAGCAGTAAACAGAAGAGGCCTAGTAACCTCTAGAAGATGTCTATTTTTCCTTTCTGCTACCCCGTTTTGTTGAGGTGTGTTGACACAAGACGTAAGGTGAACAATACCTTTTTCCTTAAAGAATACCCAAGAGTTTTATTCAAATACTCACTTCCATTGTCACTCCTCAGAATTTTTATTTTTGTGTCAATTGGGTTTCAACTTTTAATAAAAACTTTTAAAAAGGGACTCAACCTCAGACTTTTCTCTCATTAAGAATATCCATGTTGTCCTAGAGTAATCATCTATAAAAGAAACAAACCACTTATACCCAGAAATACTTTTGACAGGAGAAGGGCCCCAAATGTCACTATGGATAATGGAAAAAGGTGTTGTTGGTTCAAATTTGGAATGCAATATATGGTTTTCTGGTGTTTTTGGCTATTTGACAAATTTCACAGGAAAACAAGGATGGATCTTTATTTATAAATAAGTTCGGTAACATTTGGAAAGAGAAAATTAGAATGACCTAATCTAGAGTGCCATAACATAATTTTATCGATATTGAGATCAGAAGATAAAATTGGTTTCCTAAGAGCACTGGATAAGGCATGATTATGAGATGTTTTACCTCCAAGTGTACAATCATTTGCCCAGCCTAGCACTGCCAATCACCCTCTTCGAGTCATGTGCCTGAAAAATGCAACCACCAATACCAAAAACAACATTACAACCAGAATCTTTAATTAATTTACTAAATGACAACAGATTGCATGCAAGTCTAGGAACATAGAGGACATTATGAAGTATTAGATTTTTGTTTAATGTAACAGAACTACTCCCTTTGACTGTAGTGAGAGAGCCAATCTGCTATTTTTATAGAAGCTGGGTAAGTTGCTTTCATTATATTCCTCAAGAGATCAAAATTCTTGTCATATGATCTGATGCACCCGAGTCTATTATCCATTGTACCGAGAAAGCATATGGATTATTTCCATCAGTAGTAGTATAAGTCACATTGGTAGGCTTGGTTGTCATACTGCTCAAATCTGCTGCAACTCCTCTATCTGTTTCTTGCTAAAACTGCTTGAGGAATCATCTTGAGAGGGAATATGGGCTTCCTTTTGAAACCTGGACCGTGTGGGCTGCCAGTCGGCTGGTTTTTCGTGCAGCTTCCAACATTGATCTATCATATGGCCTGGTTTCTTACAATGTTCACACCAGAGGCGATTTTGCCTCTGCTGCACTGAAAATCTGAAATCTGATAAACAGATTGAGAGGGGCTGGTCTGGGAAGTGATTTCGAATGCTGAGGGATCCCGATTAGCCATGGAAAAAAATTAGAGTTGAACATGAATTGATTTAAATAGAAGCGGAAATCGGATTGATCGCTCTAACCTGATACCATGTAGAAAACAGACTGTAGAAAGAAAACAGACTGTATTGTAGAAAACAGACAAGTCTGTTATTTTCTTGCATACTTCAGTAGAAACATATTACATATTTATACAAATTATGCCTCTAAACTAGGAAACTCTAAGTTAGGAAAGATAATAATCCTAGGAGATGTAATCTCTTGAAATAAGGGATTGAAAAACAGAAAATAATTACAGAATCTCTTGACAACTCATTTCTATAATTCCTACAACAAGCACTCAATATTCGAGTTTTCAATGCTCAATTCAATTGAAAAAATCCTTGAGAGCTTTCCTGCAACAGTCAATGTTTTACTTAAAGAAAAGATGAGAAAAATGCTAGTAAATAAGAAATCAAGTAATAAATACTAAAGAAAAAGTTAGGTCGCTTGAGCACAGACGGGAAAATAATAGTGTTGATGAACCTCCTAAAGTGAACAGATAAAGGAATAAAGGATTAGGACAAAACTATTGATAGTTGACCAATGCAACCACAACAGGCTATACATATTAAATTGCAACTGCTTTAATTACAATGCACTTGAGAGAAAATTTGAATCATAAATGGCTCATATCACCACCAGAAAAATAAATACATGATACCAAACCAGAGAAAATTAAAACATTCAAAAACAAAGTTGATTGAACACATGTGCTCTCCCATCCCATGAAGTAGTAACCCTCGCAAGTGATATGCTTTAGCATACCTATTACAAGAACATTAATGTTGTCAGCTTACAAAAAAAGGTAAATCAATAATTAATCCAGTCTGGAAATTAATCACACTATCCTAAGGGATATGATAGATAAGAATGAAAAGACAATTTTACCTTTCATCAATTTGTATAACTTGTTGAAGACAATCGAAAGCCTTTTCAGAGATTGCTAGATCTTGATAGAACTGTCAAGAAATCATACACACGTCATGCCGCAAGACATTTAAAGCAGGCTAGCACAGAAAACTAGCTTTATTTCAATATAAAAGTTTTCTCAAGATGCACACGAACTATCACTCACTACCATACCCTGTCATCTGCTTAAAACTGACGAGGATATCACTTAGTCATGTAGTAATACATTTAAAGTAGATTGGCAGAGAAACTACTTCCACCAGAATAAATAATAGTTTCTAGAAAATCCAAAAAATAGTAGACTTATAGAAAATTATAAGAAAAAAGGTATTTTGGCACATTTTATGGACAACATGGGAATTTGAGTTTGAGAGCAAAATGATGTGATAATAGGAATTCTTCCAATAAAGCACAATAATCAATACAGCTACCCGAGTAAGATGAGCCCAGGCCTCAAGAAAACTTCGGTCAAGTGGAATTGACTTCAAATGTGCCTCCTCAGCCCTTTTACATTCACCGATTGAAGTTAATGCCATCCCCTGCCAGAGAAAATCAACTAATGAGAAAAAAAGTCCAAAAGTATCAGATTCCTCCAAAATTAGCAAGGTTTGATACTTGAAATTCAAGCAAATATGTATACGCAGACTTGTTATTCTCATCAGCTTCACACATGCAGATAGATCTTCAACAGCAGCATCAAAATCCTTAACTTGAAATTCACGATTCCTGAATTAAGTACAAATTCGATATATCACTTCCTGGAACAAAGTGATTTTCATTTTCCAGAAACAACAGTCTTTTGTGATAAAACTGAAGTATATGAATTGGATCCTACAAATATTGTTTCAATCGTATATGAAAAATTATAACTGAAAAATTATAACATGTCATCATCAATACATATGGGAGGAAGTTCATGATTAAAATGGTTTTGGAAGTTTGCCTATGGTAGGGATTCAGTTTGGAAGAAGATGATTTGCTCCAAATACAATTTGAACAATAATCTGATTTTTTTTACAACAAAGTATCTAATAATGCTCTTGGTTGTGGAAGTCGGTGGTTAATAATCATTATAAAGATGATCAGTTTGGCGAGAAGGTTCGAAGTATGTTTCAATTAAAGTGGGTAATGGATGAGCATAAGGTTTTGGTTTGATAGTTGGGCTCTGGATCGTCCATTGAAGACTGCTTTTCCAAGGATCTTTGCTCTTTCCCTGAATAAGGTTGGGAAGTTAAATGAGTTCGGCGAGTTCAATTCTTCAGGATGATTTGTTTGTGCAATTGAGAAGGAACCTGTGTGATTGGGAGCTGGAACAGTTCTCAAATTTTCAAACCATCATTCATAATTATAGTCTTTCCCAAGAGTCCAAATATGGTCTGAATTGGAAAGGGAATGGGGAAGGTATTTTTTCTGTCAACTCTGTTTGAAGACCTGTTTTCTTGGTCCGGCAGAAGACAATTTCTGGGATAATTGTATTTGGAGGGGGCTAGTCCCTCCAAAAAATAGAGACTTTTTATGTGGCAATTAGCGCACCAAAAAGTGGCGATTAAGTTGGAATTACAGAAAATAGGAGTTTCGGGGATTATTGATGTTCTTGTCCTTGTGCAATAAAGAGTTGGAATCTGTTAATCATCTTTTCTTGTACGGTTGCATGGTCCCTCTGGAAAAGTTTCTGAAGATTGGAAATTTAGTTCGGTTCTTCATGTCTGAATCGGGAGAACCCGAATAAGATAGGTTGACACATGATTTCACTGTGTAAACCCCTTCCCCATTCCCCTTCCAAAACAATCCATCAGTGGCATCAGCAGAAATAGAGAAATCAAGATAACAACCATCAAATTTGCCCATTGCTCAAATTCCCAGTCATTCAACTCTCTCTCAATTGAACGTCCCAAATCCAACCCTTGAACTGAACTCCCCAAACTGAGTTAATCTTCCTTCTTTATTGACTGCAATAGAAAATATTCTAGGGAACAATACCATCAACGGATGATCCATTGTCCAATTGTCTTGCCAAAACCGAATGCTCCTCCCATTGCCAATTTAAAGCAATATTTACCTCTGATACTACAGCCCAACGAATCAGCATTATAATGGTTTCTCACATCTCTCCACATCCAGGATAGTTTAGGAGAGACTTTACTGTCAAACTGCATCAAGGAAGGATCCAATTTATATTTGTTGCAGAGCATTTCCCTCCAAACCGCATCCCTCTCAATAGCAAACCTCCAAGCCCATTTTTCCAAAAGTGCCCTATTCACCACCTTTAAATTAAACCCCCAATCCTCCTTCAATTTTAGGTTTACAAACATCGGACCAGCTTACCCAATGTATCCTCTTTCTCCCATCACCACCTCCCCACAAAAAATTTGACATGATAGAATTGAGAGTCTTGTAAACTGATGCTGGAACCTTGAACAATGACAAAAGTAAATAGGGAGTGAGCATAGAACTGATTTAATTAGAACTAGCCTGCCTGCCAGTGACAGAGAGGAGCCTTTCCAGCCCGCCAGTCTCTTATTAAAGCTTTGAACCACTGGATCCCATAGAATGTTGGAGTTCCTATGTGGACCTAGTGGGAGTCCCAAATATTCTGAGGGAAAAGCCCACTGAACATCCAATCATAGATGCCCAACCCTTGATTTCCTCTTCCTTTAAGTTCACTCCAAATAATTTACACTTCTTTAAATTCAGCTGTAGACCAGAAATGATCTCAAACACCCGAAGCACCCTCTTTACATTCAAGATCTGTTTTTCCGACGCCCCACAGAACATAATAAGTCGTCAGCAAATTGCAAATGGGTTAAATTAAAATTCCTCTCCTCTTTTCTAATGACCAGTCCCGAAAAAAGCCCGTGAAACAGCCTTCGCTATTAATAGATTCAATAGCTCCCCAACTATGTTGAACAACAATGGAGACAAGGAACAGCCCTGCCGAAGACCCCTCGCCATTCATTATTCTGAACAAAATAGGCCAGTCAAGAGTATCATATGCCTTCTTGAAATCAGCTTAAAAAACACCCTTTTAAACCATTCTTCCTCCAAAAGTCAATCCCTTCATTTGCTATAGAGAAGTCCAGGATTTGCCGACCGGGATAAAAGCGAATTGCTTGGACTGATCAAATCTGAAATGCAGCTCCTAAGTCTTCTTGAAAGACATTTCGAGAGTATATACAATCCACCAACAAGGCTTATAGGTCTAAAATCGTCCAGTCCACCATGTTAGAAATCTTAGGAATAAGAGTGATGAAAGTGTGATTAACACCATGTTCCCATTCCTTCCCCAAGTAAAAATCATGAAAGAATTTCATAATATCTACCTTTAGGACCTGCCAAAACCTCTTAAAAAATCCCAAATTAAAGCCATCAGGACCCGGAGCTTTGTTGCTGCCACAAGATTTCACCTTCCCACACTTCCTCCTCAGAAAACTCCTGTTCTAAGACTGTTTCTGCTCCATAAAAATTCTGGGAAAATCCAGATTCAAATCATCAATCTCTAAAGTAGTTCGTTCATTATAGATCTTAAAAAATACTCTTTAACTATGGCCTTAATTGCCGTTGGGTCTTCCACTGTTCCCCTTCGAAGTTAAACCAAGTAGAGCATCCTTTTATTCCTAATCGTAGCACAAGTGTGGAAGTATTTAGTATTGCGATCCCCATCAACAATCCAATTAGTTCTCGATACTGAACCAGATCTGCTCCTGAATCTTGTGAAGCTTCCACAATTCTGCTCTTAGATCTTCAATTCAACTAATACCTCACTGTCAACCGTTCCTTGCTTCTGTTGAATATCATCCTCTATCAACGAATTTTCTTCTCTAACTCAGAAATCAAAGCACCTGGATACTTCCTCTGTTCCCAGACCACTTCTTAATTGCATGTTTGGTGTTCCTCATCAGACTAAAAACGCCTGCCTCATTACTATCCTTACCACTCTGAAAAGAAGAAACAACCAGATCCTCAAAACCCTCCTCATCCATCAAATAATTGAAAATCTAAAGGGTTTTCTACCCCAGTCACCCCTTTATTCTCCAGAACTATAGATTATGATTGACAAGGATCTTGGTAGAACGACTGCACAACGCCCGGAAACAGCTCTAGGAAACGACAATCAACCAAAAAACGGTCCAGTCTAACAAAAGTGGGATTATCTTGGTTATTACACCAAGTGAACCTACCCCCGTTCAAAGGAAGATCAATCAAACCCGTATGGAGAATGAATCATTAAAGATCTCCATTGAACTCCTACTTTGACCCCTTCCCAATTTCTCATCTTCTTGTAAATATACATTGAAATCCCCTCCGACACAAATGGGATAAGTCTGTCCACTAAGAAAATGCTTAACTCTTCAAAAAACCAGATTTCTCCTCCTCCACTGATGGACCGTAGATTGATGAAACCACACCCGGAATCAATACTCCGAATTTTACCGAAAGTAGCAATGAATCTCCTGCTAACAACTGATTCTCCAGCTCAAAACATTATCATCCCAACACACAACAGCCCCCCGCTGATCCAACTGAAGGGGATTCCAAAATTCCTTTAAGTTTATTAATTCCACTTCTCCTAAAAAAAGACTTCCTAAATTTCTCAGTCTTAGTTTCTTGCAGCCAAAGAAAGTAGGATTAAAGTTGGAGACTAAATTCTGAACAGCCCTCCTTTTCTCGTTTTTCCCCAAACCCCTAACATTCCAAACTATTACTAGCTTGTCATCATCAAAAGGAAATAGGTGCAGACACACTCCTCAAACAACCAATCCTTTATTCACCCCATTTACGCCTTTCTCTAAAGCTATGATTTATCCAAAAAGGCTTCTTTCCCTTCCTTAAAAGACACACCCAAAGCTTGCTAACCTCCCAAGTTTCCATCGCTTCTTTCAACAGAATCGAAAAGCTGAGGAGGATGCTATCAATGCTCACCTTGTCAAGGGCTTCACGATACAGGATCCTTTTAGTTCTTCTCTTCCTTCTAATCAGCAAACCAGATTTGGACTTTAAGCCATCACCTTCTTAAAAGTAACCTCAATCTCCCTTCCTACACTCCCACCCCCATATCCTTTGTCAAGATAAGGATCAAGACTCCCCTCAGCAATGTTCTCTGCTGATAAACAGAGCTGAATATTCGTACTGGAATCAACATCTAGCTCCCTCTGCTTAACTACGGCACCCCCTGTTTCAGACGAGATGTTCAACAAATCCCCATACCAGTATCTTCTTTCCCTCGACCTGTTGTAAACCCTTTTACAATGCTCAGACTTCTAGTTTCCAGCACATTACTCTCTTTTGTAAACTCCCTTCTAGAGCGAATTAACTGCCTCCCCCTAGAGTTGTTATTTAAAACCTGTTCCGATGGTCTTAAGTTTTCTTCTTCGGGGTCTATCTCCACACTGAATGGCTTCTCTACAATTGGACTCGATTCCATTACCTTGGACACTCCCCTGCATTTTCCTGATAAATGGATGTTTTCAATAAATCCCCAAACTTATTAATTGTATATGCTGGCCCAGAAATAAAACCCGAAAAGTATTTTGACCCAGACTGCCCAGATTCTTCAGAATGGGCCTGAGATCCATCAGCCGAATAATTTTGACTTCTAATCCCCAAACCTGCATACTCACCAACTTTAAACTTTCCAACAGTCTGACTTTCTGACAGACCACATTTAATATCTTTCCTATCTAAGGAAAGTCTTGCTAGCTGTCTGTCCTCACTAGCTCCTCCAGAAACATGAAACACTCCCTGGTCAATCCAATTGTCCACTGACAAACGATTTTCCCCTGCTGCGCATGTCTCACCTTCCCCATGAACTGACAACAATCTGTCTTCATCCTTCTCAGACATCCTCTCTTCAGAAAAATATCTCGCCGGAATCCTCCACCGGAAAATTACTGAAAAACGAACTAGAATATTCACTAGCTGATCCAATCTTGATACTTACTTTGTATGATCTTCCATACGATCCAAGAGTAATAACCTCTGGAACATCAAAGGACTTTCCACCTTCAATAGGATTCTTGCCATTGTGAGATCTTCTCTTTTCCTTGTACTATCATGGATATCTACCACACTGCCCCATCTGCCAGCCAACTTCTCGAAGAAGGGTTCATTCCAACACAACAAAGGAACACCTTTTAATTCCGCCATGCAGAAGGCCATTGGTTTCCCAGCTTCATTCAGTAGAGGTTCCACTCGCTCGAACCACTGTTTTAAAACTTCTTCCTTCTTACTCCATAACTCCAGCATCTCCTCATGAGATTTGAGAACTATCACACAAGAATTCCAGACATAGCCCCATCTCGCAATTTGAACATCGTGACCTTCTTTTAATAATGCCGTCCGAATGAACTCCACTTGAAAGGAGTATTTGATAATCCCTGTTAACGACCTCTTCACCCAGTTGGCGCTGTCTGTTGGGATATGCATCTCAAAATATATTTCCCTTGACATTCCTCCTCTGGGTATCCTCAGACAGCAGATCATTGTTCCCCCTTCTATTCCCTTTAGACAACAGAGCATCCCTGTAAGATCTATCATCCCTCCTACTTCTATTAATATTATCTCTATCTCTTGATTTTAAAGAATCTGCACTAATCTGACCATCATCTTTGTTTGAAGAAGAAAGCAACACCCTTGACCTTGAACGTTCATCCTTAAACCTGGCAGGACTAACTGAGATCTTCCTTCCATCAATCACAATCCCATTTAACTCCTCAACAGCCCTCTTCAGATCCTCCTCCCTCTTAAAATGAACAAAGGCAAAAGTAGAGAACCTGTATTTTGGATTTCTAGTTTGGCTGGGAATAAAAACTCTCGTAACAGGACCATGAACTAAGAATAATTCCCTAAGCGTACGATGGGAGACCCTTTTACTAAGATTATCGATAAACACCGACCAACACTCAACCGGAACTGACTTTCCTTTCAAATTCTCTCTCTCTACGTTTTTCTCAAGAAAACTTCGGTCAAGTTGGATTGACTTCAAATGTGCCTCCTCAGCCCTTTTACATTCACCGATTGAAGTTAATGCCATCCCCTGCCAGAGAAAATCAACTAATGAGAAAAAAGTCCAAAAGTATCAGATTCCTCCAAAATTAGCAAGGTTTGATACTTGAAATTCTAAGCAAATATGTATACGCAGACTTGTTATTCTCATCAAGCTTCACACATGCAGATAGATCTTCAACAGCAGCATCAAAATCCTTAAACTTGAAATTCACGATTCCTGAATTAAGTACAAATTCGATATATCACTTCCTGGAACAAAGTGATTTTCATTTTCCAGAAACAACAGTCTTTTGTGATAAAACTGAAGTATATGAATTGGATCCTACAAATATTGTTTCAATCGGTATATGAAAAATTATAACTGAAAAATTATAACATGTCATCATCAATACATATGGGAGGAAGTTCATGATTAAAATGGTTTTGGAAGTTTGCCTATGGTAGGGATTCAGTTTGGAAGAAGATGATTTGCTCCAAATACAATTTGAACAATAATCTGATTTTTTTTTACAACAAAGTATCTAATAATGCTTCTTGGTTGTGGAAGTCGGTGGTTAATAATCATTATAAAGATGATCAGTTTGGCGAGAAGGTTCGAAGTATGTTTCAAATTAAAGTGGGTAATGGGATGAGCATAAGGTTTTGGTTTGATAGTTGGGCTCTGGATCGTCCATTGAAGACTGCTTTTCCAAGGATCTTTGCTCTTTCCCTGAATAAGGTTGGAAGTTAAATGAGTTCGGCGAGTTCAATTCTTCAGGATGGATTTGGTTTGTGCAATTGAGAAGGAACCTGTGTGATTGGGAGCTGGAACAGTTCTCAAATTTTCAAACCATCATTCATAATTATAGTCTTTCCTAAGAGTCCAAATATGGTCTGAATTGGAAAGGGAATGGGGAAGGTATTTTTTCTGTCAACTCTTGTTTGAAGACCTGTTTTCTTGGTCCGGCAGAAGACAATTTCTGGGATAATTGTATTTGGAGGGGGCTAGTCCCTCCAAAAATAGAGACTTTTATGTGGCAATTAGCGCACCAAAAAGTGGCGGTTAAGTTGGAATTACAGAAAATAGGAGTTTCGGGGATTATTGATGTTTCTTGTCCTATGTGCAATAAAGAGTTGGAATCTGTTAATCATCTTTTCTTCTCTTGTACGGTTGCATGGTCCCTCTGGAATAAGTTTCTGAAGATTTGGAAATTTAGTTCGGTTCTTCATGTTAATGTTCATGGTTTTTTAATTGCTTGGTTTGATATGGTGCCTGCTTCTTCGGTTTGGTCCTTAATTCCGGGAGTAGTGCTTTGGACTATTTGGAAATTCAGAAACGAAGTGGTGTTTGAAGGAAGGTCTTTAGATCAGATTGAGTTATTCTTCATGGCCAGGATGAGCTAGCTTCTTGGTTCTTAGCTAAGTTCCAAGAGTTTCCCATCTCTAAAGACTCTATTATTAATGATCCATCTATTGCAGATTCTTGCTTATCTGCATCAAATTCTGTCCATAAAGTAATCTCCTGGATCCCCCCTCCTAAGGGCTTTTTAAAGTTAAATGTAGATGCAGCAGTTTGTAAGGATTGGCGTAAGAGCGGTGTAGGTGGTCTCTTAAGAGATGAGTTTGGCGATATCAAGGGTTCTTTCAAGGAAAAAACTGGTCCAGGTTCTCCTACTCTGCTGGAAATTATAGGCATTAAAAGGGGTCTAATGATCTTTGATTCTATTCTTCAGTTCTTCAAGAATAAGTGGATTGTTGAATCTGACAGCAAATCTGCTGTGGATTGGATTAAGAACTTGGAGAATTGTCCTACAGGTTTTCGGGATTTAGTCAAAGAAGTTGCTGATATGATTAAGGTTTTGCAGGGTGCTATTAAATGGGTAGACAGAACTGCTAATATTGAAGCAGATTCATTAGCTAAGGCTGGTATTGGATAGTTTTCTTATGTTTGTTGGGTTTTGTTGTTTCTCCTTTATGTCGATGTGTCAAGGTGGGTTGAGGATTGTTTTTGTAAGGGGATTGTTTGTTCTTTAACATTATGTAATCTTTCAGTTATTAATAAAATTTGAGGCACTCTTTTCCTCCTTCCACTGATTAAGGAAAATCGAGCGGTGCTCCTTTAATCTAGAAGGGGGTTTTTAATGAGGCCTCCACCTCCTATAAAAAAAATTAAGGTTGAATGTGTAGAGGATTTTTTTCTTGAGTTAACAGACATGGAGGAAGAAGAAGTTGCAGAAGACCCATGGGAGAAAAGTTCTTCGGAATGGAGCAATGAAGAAGTGCAAAATGGACAGGAAGAGCAGGTGGAAGAGAAGGAGCTGTCAGAATCCCAAAATAGGGTTGACGAATGGGTTAGAAGTTCCCAACCAGGGATACACACAAATACTGAGGGGGTTTGAATTTAAACATAGGAATGGAAAATACGTTTGACCTGTGCAAAGATGTGACTGAGGCAGGTAATGTCTCCATCCAGCAGAAAAGTCAGAAGAAGTTAAGAAGGGAGAGAAAATGGGAAATGTCTGGGAGATCTTCCCAATGAGCATGAGAAAGTTGACTGTGGGAGTAGGTTTCTTAGGGCCCCGGTAGTACAGGTGAGGAGTGGGCTGGATCAAGAGGAGAGATTAAGCAAGGATTATTGTACTACTACAACAGGATTCAATGTTGTGCAGTATCATACTTCCTTGCAGGAGGGGTCTGTTTCTATGTCTGCTCATAAAAATTTTGGGAAGACTGTATCTGGGAGTAGAGTGGGAAGGGGTAAGTGCAAACGTGTTTATTCACGATCAAGGAGGGGGGCATCTAGGAGCCGTATTGGTACAAGTTCGGAGCATGCTTATAACAATGAGGAAGTGGATGGGGCAGAGGCTTTGGAGTGTTGGAACATAAGTGAATTGTTAGGGGTCACATTCAGAGGGGGGAAAGAAGCTTTTATGAACCAAACGATTCCTTTGATAAAGGAGAGAGAAGTACAGGGGGTAATTAAGGGGTGCTGGATTTTAGGGTTATAGCTGGATATTGATGACTAGTTGGAATTTAATGTCTTGGAATATTAGGGGTTTGTGTAGGAGGGTTGTGGAGAGAAAGCCTTTAGTTTTATTCATTCATGAATCTAAAATTGAAGTGGTGAATCAATCGGTAGTGAGGAAAATGGGAGGAGATTTGTTGACAGCTACGGCAGTTTCAGCAACTGAAGGTTCTGCTGGTGGTCTGATTACTTTGTGGAATGAAAAAGAGTGTCAGGTTCAAGAGGAGATCATTCATAGGAGATTTGTAGCAGTTAAGGGTACTATTGATGAGGTACTAGGGTCTTGCTGGTTCATAAATGTGTATGGAACGAGTGTGGAGTCAGAGAAGGAGGCGTTCTTCGGGGAGTTGCTTTTATTTCTGGAGAATTTAGACAGTCCAGTCTGTCTCGGAGGGGACTTCAACGTGGTTATGTCACAGGAGGAGAAGATTGGAGGTGCAGTGAATTTAGCTTCAATGTTTACTTTCAGAGAATTTGTGAGTAAAGCTAATCTAGTGGATTTGCCTATGGTTGGAGGTCGATTTACATGGTGCAACAATAGAGAAATTCCAACTTATGAGAGACTAGATCGGTTCTTAGTGGATCAAAGTTTTTTATCAGTGTTCCCCATGATAACTCAAAAACTCTTAGAAAGGTCTGTTTCAGATCATAACATCTTACTGGAAAATAGGGGATGGAATTGGGGACCGAAACCGTTTAAATTATTTAACTATGTTATGGAAGAGGAGGGTTTTTGTAGAATGATGGAGGGAGAGCTGCACAAGCTATGTAGAGTGGAGAATAGACAACCGATTTCTACTGTATTAAAAGGGGTGCAGGAAGCAGTGAAGAAATGGTCTAGGAAGGGGTATTTAGAGTTTCCCTGGAGAATAAATAGGTTGGAGAAAGGAATTCATGAGAAGGAACTTCAATTGCAACAAGGTCTCCCCATGGTGTCTATGAAGAATTTAGTGGAAGCAAAGGAGCTGTGGGACTTGTATAAAAAAGAGGAATCGATTTGGCTACAAAAGTCAAGATTAAAGTGGAGTTTGGATGGGGATAAGAACACTAGATTTTTCCACCAATGTGCAAGAGGTAGAGGAAGGAGAAATGGTATCAAATCCATCAAAGTAGACAATGAAGACATTTCAGATCTAGAATTAATTAAAACTTCAGTGGTGCATTTTTTCAAGGGGTTGTTTAATCAGGAAAATACATTGGAAGTGGAGGAACTAGACCTGGATTTTTTACAACTCTCGGAACAGCAGAGATGGGCCCTTGAGAAGCCTTTTTCTGAAGAGGAAATTTGGGGTGTAATTGCTAACTCGGATAATAACAAAGCACCTGCCCCGGATGGACCGAATTTAGGTTTTTTCAAGAAGTTCTGGTCAAGTTTGAAGGAAGTTCTGTAGCTGTTTTTTAAGGAATTTTATGAGGGAAAGGGCTAGGATAATGACACCAATCACTCTTTCCTTTCTCTTATTCCTAAGAAGGCCAATTCGGAGGGGTTAGAAGATTTTAGGCCAATTAGCCTAGTTGGGGGTTTCTATAAAATTCTTTCAAAAGTACTAGCGAGAAGGCTAAGCTTGTGTATTAGTGAAGTTATTAATCCATCTCAATTTGCATTTATACCGGGGAGACACATTTTGGATTGTTCGTTATAGCAAATGAGGGCATTGAGTGTTGGAGGAAAAAAGGATTGAAGGGAGTTGTTTTTAAGGTGGATTTCAAGAGAGCCTATGATTCGGTTGATTGGAGGATATTGGTGAAAATAATGAGCAAAATAGGGTTTGGAGATAGATGGAGTTCTTGGATGTACAAGTTTATCTCAACAGCTTCCATTTCGGTTTTGGTAAATGGCACACCTACAGAGAGAATATACACTACTAGAGGATTAAGAGAGGGTTGTTCATTATCTCCTATGCTGTTCAATTTGGGAGGCGAACTGTTACATCTAATGTTGGAGAAAGCAGTGAACAAAGGGTTGTTTTCGAGTTTTGAATTAGGCTCGATGGGTCGTTCTTTCATGTTATCACATTTACAATTTGCGGATGACTTAATTTTTAGCAAGGCATCTACTCATGATTTGGTGAATATTAGAAGGGTGCTTTTAATTTATGAATTGTTGGTGGGGCTGAAGTTGAATTTGAATAAGAGCAGAATTTTTGGAATCAATGTGGGGGAGGAGTTAGCTTCTTGGGCCAAGGAAATAGGTTGTGCAAGAGGAGCTTTTCCATCGGAGTATTTAGGTCTACCGTTAGGGGCTAAGAGGAATTCTTTTTCTTTGTGGGAATCGGTGGTACAAAAATTTTACAATAGTTTGGCTGGGTGGAAGGCAAAGTCTTTATCTTTGGCTGGACGGGCAGTTTTGGTTAAATCAGTGTTGTGCTCGCTTCCAATTTATTACCTTTTTTAGGATCCCTATTAGTGTTCTCAACAAATTAAATTCTATCATGGCGTCTTTTCTTTGGGGGGGATCGACAGAAAAAAGAACGTCCATTGGGTCAAATGGGAATTGGTGTGTAAGCCAAAAAGTTGGGGGGTTTGGGAATTCCAAATCTGTTGCTTTTAAACAAGGCTCTTATGGGGAAGTTGGTGTGGAAATTTGCTGCAGAAAAATCCTCCTGGTGGAAAACAGTGGTCTGTTGTGTAAACAATATGGATCCAAATTCAATGATGATCCGGAATACTTGGACAACACGTACTTCTTGGATTTGGAGAGGAGTTGTTAAGAACTTCTTTTCAAGTGATGCATTTGGGGATTGTTTTAGGAAAAATTTGTGTTAGAGCTGGGAATGGAGAATCAGTGCAGTTTTGGTATGATGTATGGTTGGGTACGGTTCCTCTGAAAGATAGGTTTCCAAGGTTATTTGCTCTGTCGAACAACAAAGGGGGGAAGGTTGCAGAGTTCAGGCTGTATAATGACTCGGGTGGGGTGTGGGATATTCAGACAAGAAGGAATCTGGTGGATTGGGAGGTTGAATAGTGGCTGCAGCTTATCTCTCTCTTGAACAGTTGCTCATTATCATTAGTTGAGGATGATTGTTGGGTTTGGTTAGGAACTGGTGAAGGTTGTTTTACAGCAAAATCATGCATGCAATTGTATTTTGATAGAGAGGGTAATGATGAAGTAGAAGGTAATTGGGAAAGATATGTTTGGAAGGGGGTAACTCCACCACGAGTGGAAACCTTTGTTTGGCAACTTGCTCATCACAGAGTAGCTGTGAAGGAGGAACTGCTAAAGAGAGGTGTTACTGGGGTGGAAGACACTGTGTGCTCTTTGTGCGGGAAGTGTAATGAGTCGGTCTCACATTTGTTTCTACACTGTGATGTGGTGTGGGACCTGTGGGTTAAGTTCTTAAAGTACTGGAATGTTTGCTTTGTGGTTCCGGCTAAGTTGATGGAATTCTTAATTGCGTGAGATGAGTTAGTTCCAAGATCTTTCATATGGAAGTTTATCCCTAGGGCTGTGTTGTGGTTGGTTTGGAAATGTAGGAATGAGGTGATTTTCCAGTAAGGGAAGGTTGATTCTGCGTTGTTGTTCTTCATTACAAGGTTCAGAATTGTTTCGTGGTTTAGAACTTCATTTAAGGATGTCCATATTCCTTTCGATTCCTTGATGGGGGACTTAAAATTAGCAGACTGTAACGGTAATTTGAATAAGAGGACTCCTCCTCCTTCTAGTTGGAGTCCTCCTCCGGAAGGTTTTTTAAAAGTAAATGTTGATGGTGCAATGGTTAAAGGTTGGGATAAGGGGAGAATTGGTGGATTGATTAGGGATGGGAGTGGTTCGGTGCTTGGGTCGTTTTCAGAGAAGGTAGGGGGAGGTCCTCCTTTACTTGCAGAGCTTTTGACGATCAAAAGAGGGTTGATTCTTACTGAGGAAGTTGGTTACAGTCCAAGCCAGAGGATTATTTTGGAATCAGATTCAACTAATGCTCTAAAGTGGATTAAAAATCCGGACTTTAGTACTCCTTTGTTTAAATCCTTGGTGACGGATATAGCTACTCGTGTGGAAATGAAAGGTATTATTACAAGGAATATTTCGAGAGCTGCAAATTGAGAAGCGGATGAATTAGCAAAAGCTGGTATAGGTTGATTTTTGGGTTTCTATTGTGGTTAGAGGTGTTATATCTTGGCTGTTTTTTAAGGGAGTTATTAGGGTGCGTTATGTATCCACAGTTGTGGCTTAAAGGTTATGTTGTTAGTAGTTAGTCATGTAGGTGTGGAGGTGTATTATGGTTCTCATTAATAAAAGTTAGAGGCACTCTTTTCCTTCTTCCTATACCCTTCATGTTATGTTTATATTATAACATGTAGGGTATGAAGGGGGTTTTTAATGAGGCATTTTTTTATCAAAAAAACAGGTAGAAAGAGCATACTTGAATAATCAAAACAAAAAATACACCATAGTTACTTTTTGACATTTATATTGAGCATAAAAGGAGGACATGAAAACATAAACAAAATTTTTCAGTATTTACGCAAGTCAATTGCAAACAAGAATGTAAGGAAACTAAATTACGAAAGAGATGGATTAGAAAAGCTACCTCTTTCATGTAATATATTAGCTGAATCTGGATCAAACTCCAATGCTTTGGTCAGGTCTTCAATTGCCTGGCATAAAGATGCAATTAAAGAAATCAACTTCAGTTATCACAAGCAATCAAACACTGAGCTCTCTTGTTTGCTTCACATATGGAATACTCAGAGATATAGTGTAGCAACAGGCACTAAATTTTTCCATCTTATTCTTCAGGACATAAATAACGACTATAAAGCTATATTTTCCATCACTCACTTTGCTCTGCAAAATCCAATTTTGCAATCGCTAACATAACATGCAAAGGAATAGAAAGTAGAAACCAGACTATAACCTAGGACTTAAGTAACCTAAAATCCTGGTTGACCACGCCAATGTACCCATGCTAAAGATCACATGCGACTATGGAAAGACAATATGAACACGTTTTCCTTTGTTAACAAAGACAGTATGGTAATGAACTTGCCAAAGATCCTCACCTCAAGAGATTCTCCTAAGGCAGCCCGAGCCTGTCCCCTCCTCTTCCAAGCCTCACCAGCCGATGGTTTTGATTGAATTGCCTAAAACAAAAATTAATCATATGAAGCACAGAAAAACTATTGTCAATTTGATTAGACAGATGAATCACAAAGATCTATGTACCTTTGTAAAATCAGCAATAGCAGATTCAAGCTCTCGTTGGAAAGCATATGTAGTCCCTCTTCCTATTAGTGCCTCAGGATAAGTCGGATCCTCTTTTAGTATCTGCACACAATTTAAAAAATATATATGATAAAAGAGACATGGAAAAAGACCAAGATTGTCAATGTGACAAGCTAGAAACATACTATGACATGAAAGAATTACCTGGTCAAATATAGATATGGCATAAGCATATTTTCCTTCATTAACCCGCAAAAGGGGAAAAATACATGTCAAGCATAATCATGGCTTGATTTACAGTGCAAGAGGTAATTGCACCAAGTTTAAAACCAGAAAATGAGTTAAAAATTAAAACAAACCTGTGCAATACCCCTTGATAAGCGGAAGTCTACACTGATTGACTCTGTCCTTGAAATCTTAGCAACACAGAACTTCTTACTCCTCTTGGATTCATCACTGATTTCATTATTTGAGTCAGACGTGTTGTTTGGCAGATTGTGGCTTTCAATTATATCACTTGAGTTACTGGTACTAGCAGAGGATTTACTACAATGTTCTGATTTCTCACTTAAACCAGTACCTGAACCAGAAGCATAGCTCAGTGTGTCAAAATTATTATGAGTTCCATTTGTCAGGTCACAAGGCTTCTGATTCGAACTGGTTAGATCACTTGATCCTAAACAAAAATTATCACGGCAACTGTTGTTGTCAGAAGCATCAGCAGAATCCACACTTAACTTAGATCCATCACCCAACACAGCGATTTTTGAAACTTTCACATGTTCTGCCATTTGTGTCAGGTAGTAACTCAGATAAAGCCAATGACGACTTACTTCTCTCTCCATCACTATTTACATTGTGTGTGTCAAAGTTGTCAGTATGCGTGTTACAGAAGTTCGATACAACACTATGCTCTTGGAATAATCTAGAGGTATTGTATTCATTTTGCAACTTGAGAGGTTCATTTAACTTCCCATCAATATGAGGTCCAGATAAGGATACACAGGTAGATAACTTTGAGTCTGTCACATGGCTGTCAGTGGTGAAACCTATGTCTTGTTTGCCTGGTTTTGCTACACTCAATAGCTCTTCCAGTTCCGGCAATTGTTTCAGATCAGCAGACTGCCGTAATGCATGCTCATATCCTTGCTACCAAACTGCAATAGCATCATCTTTCCTTCCCAATGCAGAAAATGCACGGCCTAGACAAGGAAAATAAAAACATTGAGTTTAAGCAGCCTGCCCAGAACTCAAGACAATATACTTTGCTGTCTACAGTCAAAATAAACAGTGATGGTTCAGAAAGCACAAAGCACACATGAAATTCTCCAGAAAATCTAAAACAAGGGAAACATCACTTTGATTACAAATAATACATTAGATCAGTTAATTTTCTCATTTAGTATTATGTAAACAGTTTTAAACCTAACCTGGTGATTGAAAACCACAAATGACTTCCAAATTTGAGAGAGGGAGCTTGATCTATGTTCTATACTACACTAACATATAGGTTCCGCCCTATGACTATGATACAGACTAATTTCAAGAAATCAAATGCATCATTTCATTATGATATTCAATCGAAATGTGCGTTCCATGACTAAGAAACAAATCTTAACCCTAAATTAACAGAACCCAATTTCTCTAAATTATAGTAAAATCAACAGTTCTGAAGGATTTTGGTCAATATCATAAAATCACAGCTCTAAAACTTGAAGGTTAGACCCAAAAGGTATACAAGGAACATGAAAACATATTCATTAATCTAAGATTCAATAAACAAACTGATTAAAGATGCATAAAATCAGGGCTCAATAAATGCGATTAAACAATCCAAATGAAACTCAGATATAAGAGGATCAAAGGAAATAAAAAGATGCCTTTAAGAATATAAGCTTGAAGAATGGTAGGGTCAAGCTGAAGCGCCTTATCACAATCTTTAACCACGTGCTTGTGAAGCTCCAATTGACTATAACAAAAGGCTCTATTTTTGTAATAAGAAAGGAAAATATATCAGGGAAATGAAAATGTAAAAGGAAAATCTACCAGGGAAATGAAAATGTAAAGGAAAGAAAAGTTGGAAGATCGGAGGGAATAAAAAGGGGGGGGGGGAAGAAGTTTGAAGGACCAGATGTCTTGGGTTGCGCAAGATTGAGAGAGAAGCGAGTCCAGGAGTCGTATTGCCTTGGACCAGTCACGAGAGCTGCAGAGTTTAGCGAGTTGGATTCGCTCCTAGAAAGCTGAGTTCATGGTGAACCACGAAGGGAGGGAAATTAGAAATCGTGAAGTGGCGAGGAAAGTAGCAAGAATAGGTGAAGAAATTGACGTGGGGGGAGGTTAAGTGGCACTTGCAGGTGACAATTGTGGAATTGGGTTGACCCATTTCATGTTTTGGTCTTCCAAAACTGGCTAAGACCGCACCTGGGGCTTATCTTTCAGGTGCCTGGGCCGCAATTTCATCAACCCAATAAAATCTTTTATCCAAATTTAGAAAAAAAAAATATACCGGACATTTACTCCAACATTTATTTATGTTTGAAAATTCAAACAAAATTAAATATGTAGAAATTAAGCACACTTAAGTTCAAGTCTAAACAAGCATAAATTTATCCATGCGTAGGTTTTCTATTCAAATTTTATTTCGATTTAAGAAACCATATTTAAATTTATTATGATCTAGACCCAAACATTTATTCATGTTTAGATTTAATAAGAACATTTATTTATTTTTTAAAACTGAAAAAATATTATATATATTTATATATATTATGCACAATTAGAATTTAAAATTTTGAGATTCTAAGTGCATAAATCAAACTATCTCAGTGGTTAAAATGATGGTTATTGCTCTTATAAGTCCTAGGTTCGAGCACCAGCTTATGAAAAGGGTATTTAAGAGTTCAATATCAAATGATTTAATCTTTAGAATAAATATTACTTTGTAATCACATCAGTTTAATAAAAAAATTGAGAGTCTAAGTTCATGTCTCAGTAAGCATAAATTTATTTATGAGCACGTTTTCAGTTCAAAATTTATTTTTATTTAAAATAATTAATCTAGATTTATGATTTAAATTTACTTATGTTTTGCACGAACCAACATATCTCAGTGGTTAAAGGAACGCATTGGTTGGACAATTTGAATTTATACAGATGTACTATTTTTTAATCGGTTTCTAAGGCTTCGCCTTGACTAATCTGGATCCATCAAGGTCGCATATTTAGTTTTGGTGGGTGAGTCTCCTAACGAAGATTTTCTACATACACAATGACTCGAACTCGAAACATGCTTAAGTAATATCAAGTTGCTTACCACTTGAACTAATCGTTTTAGTAAAAGAGGTGAATCTTTGACCGGTAGACCATTAATGGGTTTATATATCCATATACGTAAAACCTATAATTTTATCTGAACATACTTATAATGCCACGAAAATTTGAGCATCTCAAATTTGAATAGATTATGTGTATTTAAAGGTTCAAAGCGAGATGAGAGTTATGAAAATGTATGAATTAGTATTTAAATGGTTGAAAAATTGAAAGGTAGTCTTTAAACTAAATGGTTAATACAAAGAATGTTAAAATAAAAGGGTTTATATTATATAAGTAATTAAAGTATATTTCTTTTTTCATTTAAGTACCTAACATATTTTTTTTGGGTCAAAAGAAGTACTTAAACTTATGTTTTACGTCAACATAGGTAGTTAATGTATTTTTGGTAAAAATAGATACATAAAGTATTCAAAATTTTCTTTTCATTCAAACTCTATAAAAGTTCGCGTGTTATATTAATTAAAAAATACTTTAGGTACTTAGATAAAAAATTGAATACTTAAAGTACATATTTTGATAAAAAAAATATTTTAAGTACCTATTTTGAACAAAAATATAAATTTTAATGCTTATTTTGACAAAAAAAAAACACTTTAGGTACTTATATGAAAATGTGATATACTTTAGATATGATATAAGCCCATTAAAATTTATGGGTTGGAGTGCACAGGAGCATTTGTAATAATATTGTGTTAAAAAATTTGAACAAGTTTGGCTTCTAGAAGACCAAATGTCAAATTTGAGATAGAGTGCAGAGACTTTTCATTTCATAATTCGGAGGTCTCTTACGGAAGCTGCTCTCAACCTGGTGTTGGGGGTAGCCTACTATCTTAGCTCCCCTTACCCCATACATATGAGAAAAAGGGACAGCCATTTATTTATTTATTAACCAAAGCTAAACCAGCGGACTGCAATACTGCACGAGCCTCGACTCGACTGTAGGAGGTAGAGCGTCATATAGTATTTCGCCTAGGGGTTATCCTCTACATAACTTTATCAAAGCATCTACGTAATTATGCTCACGTGTAAAATGATGAATTCGAATCTTCCAATCTCGTTAAACTATCTTTCAAATTATATCCACCATTCACATTCACATTCACATTCACATACATGTTTTTAAGGCTTTATTTATATGAATAAATAAAAAAATTTAATTAAACATACATATTTTTTTAAAAAAAACATACAAATAACGAAAGCACATACAAACAACATACGAGAACAAACCTAGAAAAATGCTTGGATTTTAAGAAAACAGTTAATTTTATTCTTAAGGGTCTTTACATCAGTTCATATCAATCATAAGAAAGCATACTAAAAATACAAATTAATGAAATCAAAGTGTTCAATGACATCTACAATGACATTATATAAATTTCAAATACAAATTAATGGTTAAGTTCTAGGACTAGAAATGTTATTATACCATGTCATATCGTTATTTTTGTTAAGTTAGCGGTTAAATCTAACAACGAGTAACTAAAACAAAAACAAAACAAAATATTATATATGATTTTAGAAAAATAATTGGGTGCCCAACAAAAATGATGAGATAGGTGCAGGGACGGACGCATTGTTTTATGTTAGGGGCGAACTTGAACTTATACAATTTTTGGGGGAGAACTTGCCGTAATAAAATTCTAGGGGGGCAAAAACAGATTTTTAATAGAAAATATATAAAAATATAAAATATATGATAATTGTAAATTTTTAAAGTGCGTCCACCCCGCCTAGGTCCATCACTAAATAGGTGTATGACCAAATAGTTTTTTTTTAATAAACAAAGTTGATTACAAAGCAGCATATGTTCTAAATACTTTAAACTATTTAACAATGAACGCTCAATCACCCTATTGCAGTCATTGGTGCTCAAACCCATAACCTCTAGGAATAATAACGATTCCTTTAACCACTGAGGTAAATTGGTTCATGTTGACCAAATAGATATTTTATCTTAAAAAATTTGCATATTCGAATATAAATATTGCAAGGCCATTATTATTTTTGTTGTTATTATTATATTGTTGTAAAAAGTTATTAATAAAATTTAGGATAAAGTACACAAACGGTCCCCTGATTATAGGGTACTACTTTATCAAGTCCCTCTATAATTAAAAGTTACAAAATGGTATTTTGACTATAGAATATTTCTTTGGTAAGTCTCTCGAATATTAAAAGTTACAAAATGATCATCCCGACTTAGGCTTGTCCATTAGCAAGTGTAACTTGTGATATGTCACATGGCCTCAAAATTTGGGGCCCCAAAGTTTGAAAAAATCTATTAACCTAAAAAATATTTTTTCCTATTATATGCACGTGTGAATAAAATTCAATGAATAAAACTTAATTTCATATGTTTGGAATTTGTTTTATTTTGTATGAAAAAAAATTAATATGATAAATTTTGACATTTTATAATTTCATCTTATTATAAAATATTTGAGGGGCCTCATTTTATAAAGTAGCACATGGCCTCCACTTCTTGTGGGATGGGTCTGACCCCACTATTTATTATGTTCCAAACTCGTCCTTTTTCATTGAAAAAAATACTTGTTGTCTAAGTTGGACAATAATGTGATGGCTGAGATATTATAGTCGTTTGAGATTTTGGGATCATATTTTATCATATGACAGTCAACAGGTTAACGTTTATCTCAGAATTTCTTCAATTTTTAATTAAAAAGGATGTGTTTGGAACATAATGAATAGTCATGTGACCATTTTGTAACTTTTAATGGTTGGGTGACCAAATTAAAAGAATATATAAGTAACAAGGACTAATTGTGTAATTATACCAACATATTTTAACTGCCACGTCACCTACTATGTTAAATATTAACAACAGGTGGCTTGATTGAAGCATTTAAATAGTTGAGTGGTCTAATTGTTTAAATCCAAACGTTGGTGTCAAAATAAAATCTAGCAATAGTTAAGTGGTCACTATTGTAGTTTAC